ACTACTACTACTACTACTACTACTACTACTACCACTACTACTGCTACTGCTACCATTGCTACTGCTACAGCTATCATTGCTACTGCTACTGCTGCTGCTGCTACTGCTACTGCTACTACTACCACCACGACGACGACTACTACTACCACCACCACTAACTACAACAACTACTACTACTACTACTTCTTCTTCTACTTCTACTTCTTTGACGACGGCTACTACCACTGTTGTTCTCTGGTAGCACTTAGTCAGTGGGAGAAAGAGCTGCAAAGGTCGGAGCAGAGTTTGCGGCGCAATCGTCGTCTCGGGGTCGAGTGCCTTTAAAGCGACACCCTAACCCCTAAGGCTGAATGCCTAACCAGATTCTACAAAACATATATTAGTAGTTACATATAGACAGAGGTTTATGTATATATATATATATATCCATATTTATATTTATGTATACCTATATATGTATGTATATATATATATATATAGGTACAGAGGTATGCATGCATACATATATATATATATAGATGTATATATGCAGGTTTTCAAGTATATTTATTGCACAATACAGAAATAGATAAGTAAATAAGTATATAGATAGACAGTTGTACATCCATGTAAAATGCACGCATACACACACACACACACACACACACACACACACACACACTCCTTCTTAGTTATCACCTGAGGATGAGGCACAGCGGCTCGAGGACTTGCAGAATGAAGAGGCCTAGCGAGCTAGGGTCTGGGCTCCGGTTCAGGATTTTTACGTGCGGACTGAGAGAGGGGAGGGCTTGAGATGGTTTAGGGTTTAGGGTTTTGGGTTTAGGGTTCGGTAAGGTTTCTGGTTTTTGGTTCTGCGCCTTTTGGGTTGGCACACGTAGAATTCATTGCCTGTTCCCGGACATGTTGCAGCCCCTTCTGTCACTATCGCTCGTCGGCACAGCCCAAAGCCTTTATGACAGCAAACATGCACTCCAGTACTCCATTTCGTGACTTCCGAAGTCAACCATCCGCAGAACTGACGATCAGGACTGCGCCTTGTTCGAGCAGCACCTCTTGCCGGGAGTGCATTGCCCGCTTTGCGGAGATGGGCGGCTGCAGAACGACGAAGGCCTCGTCGCCATGGACATATCACATGTTCTGCTGAAGTTCATTGAGTTACCCTGTCATGCCGATCAGTCATGGCAGTAGCAGGCGTAGTAATGTAGTATACCAATGATTGTGTTGCTCGTCCTTGCCTGATACTTGTCGCACCACTGGTCGTGTTTGTGATGAAGGCAGTATCAACTGGAGTGCGAGCTAGAGCAGAAGCACTAGTCGCAAGCGTCGTCTTCTGTCATGTCATGGTGGTGGTGGTGGGACGACGACGACGACGACTACTACTGCTGCTGCTGCTACTACTGCTACCAGCACTACTGCTACTACTACAACCCACTACTACTACTACTACTACTACTACTACTACTACTGCTACTTCGGCTGCTGCTAGCTCGACGACGACTGCTACCAAGGCCGGACTCCTACGTCTACGGTGACTACACTACCACCCATTGCTAGAGCTCCTCCTGCTCCTCCCGCCGCATGCAGCCATAGCCATAGCCACTGCTGTTGTTAGAACTGCGGCTACTACTACATAACTACGGCTACTAACTGCTACTACTGACGAGCAGTAACTGATTTTTGTTTTTATGTACAGACGATACCACAACCACTCTGCTCACATTGTCACCACTGCTGCTGCCGCTGCCGCTGCCCTGCTGCTGCTGTGTGGCATAACGGCGAGTTGGGGGTGATGCTGTGGTGATTTGACTCTGGATGTTCTCGGCGGTGCCCAAGAGCGCTTCGGTTCACGTCTGCAGGATTCACTGCCTTTCAGACTGGGTTAGCCCATCACGCCAGTCGAGTCTACCTTGTCCGGTCTTCCAGGTCAGCTGCGCTGCTCTAACTGCCAGGACCGGTTTGCAGTCGCAGCGGCGATTATGGTTGAGCTTTCCAAGTTCAGTGTGTCGGGTGCATGGTTCTAATGAGATTCAGTATGGCCCCTAAACCCTAAACCTGGAACAGCAGGCCATTTCACGACCTGTGGGTGAGCCAGAGGGCCAAGCCTCGAAGTGTACGCTGGAACGAGCAGAGGCTGCAAGGCTTTTGAAGCACAACTCTGTACTACAGTCAATATGCAGAAACTTCTTCCAGATGGCATGCTGCACTCCCAGCTCCCACCAGTCTCCATCAAGCATCGAATTTTCAATCATCACATTACGAACATGGTTGCGTCTGTTGCCCGTTTATTCACATCACTTTGCTTTTTACGGGCCCATTCAGCTGGACTCATTACCATCCTCGTGCTGTCTTGCTCCGAGCAACTTCGTGGCGATGTCTCTTCACCTGGGCGCTGGATCCGAAATCCTAGGCCCCAAACCCTAGAGCCCTAAACCCTAAATCCCAAAACTCGGAATATCCTAAGTCCTGAACCCTAAAGCCCTAAACCCTAAAGCCCTAAACTCCGAAAATCCTAAGTCCTGAAGCTCCACCCTACGTAAAGGAGATGCGGGTGACCCTTGAAGGGTACCCCTTCTGAACCCTACTTTTGGCTCTCTTAAAAGGGACCTTATTGAGAGGGTCTATATCCCCAAGGGTCCCCCTAATCCTAGCTCCTTTAAAGCTCCACCCTACCTAAACCCTAAACCCTAAACCTTAAACCCAAAACCCTAAAAGGAGATGCGGGTGACCCTCATGGATGAACTCCTGTCACTCGACGACATCTGTGAGCAGTTGGGGGATGCCGAGGCAGGGGAGAGTGTGACACGGTTTAGGGTTTATTAGGGTTTATTAGGGTTTATTAGGGTTTATTAGGGTTTATTAGGGTCTATTAGGGGTTATTAGGGTTTATTAGGGTCTATTAGGGTTTATTCGGGTCTATTAGGGTTTATTTGGGTTTATTGGGGTTTATTGGGGTTTATTGGGGTTTATTGGGGTTTAGGGTTTTGGGAGCTTTAAGTTTAACTCTCGTTTTCGCTATCACTGTCACTCTCATGCTTCCTGTTTAGTTTTTGATGGCGAGCTGTCCTTACCGTTCGAGTAGTCCCAGTGTGGCAGCAGTTCATGTTACGGTCGGTGGGTCGGTCTTTCGGCCGTCGGTCGTTGGGTGCTACCCAGTGCTAGCTATGCAGGTATGCACGGGGTGGTGCTTGAGATCAGCAGCGGGAGCAGGAGTAAGATGAGTCGCGGCAGCGACAGTAGCACCTGCGCCTCTGCACTGACAAGCTCACAGCCCTTGCATAAACCCTAAACCCTATTTCTAATTTCGACTTCGTCTTCAGGTGCGCCACCAGAAGGGTGGATGTCTGAAACGTGGCCACTTCGAGGTGGGCCGCAGAGCATCCCTCGGACTAGGAAAACGGTAGCTGCCGAGGGTTCAAGAGGGTGATGGGGTTTGGGGTTCAGGGTTTGGGGTTTAGGGTTTAGGGTTCAAGAGGGTGAGCCTTCCTTTCCTGCCCAAGGGATGTGGGATTGGGCGAGAGTGGTGGCCGTCTGTTCTTGCTTGCTTCCTTGTTTGCTTGTTGTTTGTTGGTTGTCGTTTTTGTTGTTCCTGATTGTTGTTTTTTTCTACTATTATTGTTGTTGTAATAAGAATGAGTATTGTAGGTAGTATTATTATTGTTGTTTTCTTCGAAATTATGATGATTATGATGATGATTACGATCACTGATATTCGCCTTGACTCTTACACACATAGCAGGCCACCGGCGACTCCATGCTGATCCACCGCTGCGAAGCGTGCGGGTGGAGCGAGATCGTGTTTTGAGAGCGCCCGATAAAGGCCTCAGGATCTCTTGGCTCCGGGGTGTTCTCTACCATACTATACTACGCGAGAAAATGCTTAGGAATTTTAAAGGTAAAAACAACAAACACACTAATGGTAATAGTGATGATACCACTAGTAATGAAAATCATAGTAGTAGTAGTAGTAGTAGTAGTAGTAGTACTACTACTACTACCACTACTACTACTACCACTAGTAATCACAATAATAATCATAATATCACTAGTATAATAATAGCAATAGAAATACAAAGGCCCCTATATCAGGGCGTCGGAGGTCACACGCCTAATGCTCAAGTTTCGGACACTTGGAGCAGGGGATTTGTATTGGAAGAGGAGGGGGAGCTAGAGATCCGCGACTTGGGAAATTGCCAGGCCTGGTTGCCCAGAGACTCCAATATCCCTTAATTAAGGAATATACCGTAAATCATATTAAGGATCCTACTGTAATGTAAGGAATATTCCTTAGTTAAGGGATATTGGAGTCTCTGGGTGGTGCGTAGGACGGGGGAGCGAGGTAGTGATGCGCAGATGACTGGAAAGGGCACGTGACACTGGTAATTAGTGGTAGTGGTGGTGGTAGCAGTAGCAGTAGCAGTAGCCGTAGCGGTAGCCGTAGCGGTAGCGGTAGCGGTAGCAGTAGCAGTAGCAGTAGCAGTAGCAGTAGTAGTACTTCTTAATGATGCGCGACTCAACACGAGGCTCGACTTCCCAAAAGGGCAATGCGTGGTAGGTTGAAAGGAACATGCCGTGTCTCTGAACCCTTGATCTGCCATGTGCCATACATCGAGGCTGCAACGCTGAGGAACGCCGCTGCAGAAGATCCCCAGGTGCCGAAAATCAACAGGAGAGCACATGGAAGAAGAATCCTGTCGCAGGGCAGTTCCTCCTCTACTGGTGCGGTCCGTTTATAGCCTGTCTGGGAAGTTCAGTGCGGCCGAGTGGCAAAGCAGCTGCGCTCTTTCGGCCGGCCATCGTAGGTCTGCACGGGTGCTGGCATCAGGCTGTGCTTGGATCTCCTCTGCTTGCGCGCCTGAACAGTCCTGCAGCCATGAGAGCCACGCCTCAAGACAATACAGGACTGTAAGTTGGTGCACAGCATGGCATAGCACTGGTCCAGCATGCTGCCGGCAACACACGACGAATCAGACGGAGCAGACCCTGCATGCAGGGAAACCGATACTGCACTTAGCGTCTTGCGCCGGAACAGCCGTGGACCCCTTTGAGCCAACAGGAGCTGCAGGTATTAACACGCTCAGGGAGATCTCTCAATCCGACTTGCTCTTCTTTCCATGTCGCAGATTTGGACAAAGTCCTAGCGCCGATGATCTCCTAGCATGTCACCGCGAACTGTCTTTACATGCAGAGAGATGTGGTACGACTGTGACATATTGTCATTCCCCCCGGTTGCATTCCTGCTGAAGGTTCACTCTTGGCAAGTACTTTACAGCTCTGTTGGTTTCCAAACGCCTCGTAGTATTGTCGCCTGAGGTTTCCTGCTGCTGCGCCTGCGTCTGGTTCAAGATTAGTGCGATGTCATGATGATTAGGTCATTAGGTTTCAAAGTTTGAGGAGAGGGATCTTTAGCATTAGTTAGCTTCGTAAAAAGACACCCCGTGCAACCTTCGAGACAGACTGAAGAGCCCATCAGATGTAGATAAACCAAGGTGTTCAGCCTCATGCATCATGGCACCGAAATCTCTGCCTCTCGGGAACCTAACCGTGCAAGCCTTCGGATGCAGGGTTGTTGAGGCATGGAGAAACGACCACCAAAGACGAAATTCGGGCCTATCCGAAGCCTATCCGACTCTATCCGTGCTGAAGTAGCAAATTCCCATGTCAATGTTGAGAAAACCGTTGTTCCCACTGCAGGCTGCCTTCGAGGTTTGGCCCCAAATTGATTTACACCATCGGGCGCTTCTGAGGTTTGTTAATGTTCAGCCGAGGCAACATGACAAGCACGGGAACGTAACTGACTCGCAGCACAAGCAACACCGCCTTCTGTATACAAACTGTGTGGTTGATTCACGCTTGCTGAGACACTGGAAATTGTGTTGCAATGGCTCCTGAGCGTCAGGATCGTCAAACCACAAGCGGATGAATCGAAGTGGCATTGTGCTTGCAACGGTATGAGCAGCTTGGTACTGCGTTTCCCTGTCGTTAACGAGCCCACCATCGTGAGCAGGTTTTCTGCTGAGCGCACGAATTCCCCTTGGGGCGTGCAGAAGTGAAACATAAGAGACGGCGGAGTCGCCAAGCCCAGCATTTCAAGCCTCAGCAGAGAAGGAAATTTCCACATGCTGAAGACATTCGAGGAGTAGCCGTAACAGTCAATTTTGCATCTTCAAACCATACAACAAACAGGAAACACAGGGGTCACTACTTTCAACGAGCTGAGAGCAAGGCTTAGATCATGGCCGCCTTGGCCGAATATTATCCAGCCAATGTGCCACCTTGCTGTTAGCGTGAGACTATTTGAAAGTGCGTTATGCAAATGTGAGCGCGACAGTCTCTCCACGTTGCTTGGTTACCGATTGCCATTGGCCCGCTGATGGTTGAATCATGTTGCATCTCACCCTCGATTTCTTTTTGCGGTACTCCTGCCTGGCTTTCCCGCGTGCCCCACCTGAGCTCTGCAAACCACAGCTTAGCAGGACAACATGCGGTCGCCTTGAAAGAAGTGCTCCATGCTCAAGTGGCTTCACTCGCGGGCTTGCCATCTCCCCCGGGTGAGGCCGCGTAGGCTGTGGCTTGGGGCAACCAAATCATTTGTGCAGACGGCCCTAGATCGACCTGAAAAAAAAACCTCGGCAAACTGAAGCAAAGTTGCGGCAGCTCTTTCGGCCGCCCTGGCTGCGGTCGGCCTGCACCGATGGATCCCGACTACCAGCTGCCAGACACTACCTACAGCCTTCAGCAAACCTCTTGGCGCTCCGGAAGCAGATTCAAGCAAACAGCTGACAGCACTGGCAGGCCTGGGGCTTGCAGCAGTCGTTTGCCGCCATCTGAGAAACAGGAATTCCAGCTCTACGAGACAACCAACCACACAAATGAAATCGATTCTGATGCGAGAGACGTGACGTAGACACCCGCGGCTCTGAATCAGACACAAGTCAACCCCTGCGGACTCGAAAAGGTAAAGAAGCATCTCCATGCTAACGGCCTCGCTTTCGGCACTTCGGAGGGCAATCGTACTTCCCCTGAAGGCAGGAGCGCTGTTCACGATGGCAAGTGGCTTTTTGAACATTTCCCCGCGTCTCGTTCTGCAAAGTCATCTTAAATCTCTCTATCTCGCTCTCTCTCTCTCTCTCTCTCTCTCTCTTTCTAGCCTTATGTTGCTTTATGCAGGTCAGCACAAACTAATTACTTAATACTATTATATAGTATTCCATTCGGTTTTGCATCCGGGAGGCCGCCGCCGAGCGTGCTGGTGTGTCTTTAGGCCTGTCCTGGCTGACACATGCACGAGCAAGGCGTCGTGAAAGTGCCAACTCAGTGAAATGTTTCGGTACAGCACTCCCGCACCTCAGCCACCGACCGCTGCGGCGCGTGAAGGTTGGGCTCGGAACGTGCAGCCAGCTGGCTGCCGCCGCCGCTTCCCAAACTTCCGCCACCTCCACCAGCTCCTCTCATCGCACCCTCTTGGTGGATTCCTTCCAGCGCAGCTGCTGCAGCAACCTGATCATCCCCCCCACGGAGATGGCTTGCTGGAAATCCGGTAAATTCCGGCTGCGCTTACTGCCAGTTGCAATATCCGGCCTCTCCGAGATTGATAGCAACACGACTCCCTTCACCGGTGACCTCAAAAGCGAGGCAAAGTTCTAACAAAGCTTCAGTCAGCTTCGGTATGGTTAAGGACCGTGACGCATTTCTATTCCAGTACCATCTTTTTGCGAATGGTTGAGCTTTCCGTACCGATGGCAGGTGCAAATCTTCCCGCTAGAGGAGGATAGTCAAGTCACTGCTCACCTCACATGCACGGCATCCAGCTAACTCCTAGTCGACCCCTCCTCCTGTTGATGAGGTACAGGTGGAGCATTCGCTGTGACCCAGGCCACTGCAGGCACTCGAGGGAGCGGAAGAGGCGCCCCACAGTTGTGGCAGAACCGGGCATCCTCGTTTTCATCGTGCGCGAGGCATGAGGCGATCACACTCCCAATGCGACAGATGATGACCGCATCATCCCTGGAGACTTGGCCACGAGCCAACGAAGTTGGCACTTGCCCACACTTGCCACACTGGTACTGCGCGAACCATGCCACGACAGACCTGAGCACCGAGTGGATGTGCCGACTGCCAGATGTCTGGACTTCTGAGATCTCTGAGACACCAGCGCTGACGGTCCTACCGTGGAGGGCACGGCAGACTGCGCCACCTTGGAAGCCTCGGCAAGGTCAGTGCCAAAATTAGGTGGCAGGCGGTCTGGGCATGCGACACACTCGCCGAATCACTGCGCTGCTGCCTCTTACCCTTCAGAGCGCTTGGTAGGTGCCCGCCAGAGTCTCCTTTTTCTTCAACTTCAACTTCGTCCTCTCCTTGGGACACCTCAATTGCCCAATCCACGGCTAGCCCTGGGACTCCAGGCCACAGGGCGATGCTCGTAGAGGCTTGGCCTGGGCACAGGCACTCAGTGCGCAGTGCACACTCTTCAGCTTCAGAAACCGCCACATTTGGTGGGTCGCCACAGGCAGGGAGCCGCCACGGAGCCTCTCGCCGGCCAGCCTGGCTCCGGGGCCCCCGCAGCGCCTCCCTTGGCGGAGCGGGGCCCGGCGTCCCCAGCTTCTGCCGCAGCGTCGCCTATGGCGAAGCAAGGCCTACTAGCCGCAGCCGAGGAGACCATCAGTTGCAACGACCATCAAATGCGAAAAAGCTGCTACTACAAGGAGCCCCTGCAAGGCTGACCAGGCTCTGGCCTCCCAAAGCTCTGCAGCGCTTGCGCGCTGTCGACTCGAAAGAGAGGAGCGGCGCCTGGACTAGACTCCCCGTGCTGTGCTTCGCTCCAACCAAATCCGCTCGGTGATGGTTGGGCGAGTACAGAGTAGAGTTGTTACCTGGTTTCCTTCGTCAAGGTCTGGCGACAGGGTCTTGCGACAGGAAACCACTGCAAGGGCATGGACTGAGGCAACACGAAGGCTGTGGGGGAGAGGCATCTGCTAACGCATACAAAAACGGGCCAGCAGCAAACGGACTCGTAAACCGGCACACAGGAGCCTCGCCTCAGTGGCTGCACGCTACTCACAGAGGGAAGCAGCGGTTGCGATGCGGAGGAGCCAGGACCTGAGCCAGTGCCGTTGGGTGCAGTCTGCAATCCGATGACTCATCCTTTGGTGCAATCTGCTTCGCGCCTCCCCCATCGGTTCCCATCGGGACGTCGAAGCTTTGGACCCAACATGCTGCGGCAGTTGTGGCATGCTTTCTGTGCCTCTGCTTCCAACTGCTGAAACCCTATCAACGGTGCACTTTCTTCAAAAGCATTTTGACCTGCAGAGTCGCGGATGGCGAGATGCATTTGCATTATCGTTCTCATTCAAGCAATGGAGATTCGGAGCGGCGGGAGAGCACCATAAAGCACGACCAGTTGAGGATCAGAGGAGTGAGAAGAGCCATCTTAGGAAAAAGCTCCATGCGGTCCAACCCCGCTTGCCCAAACGGCAGGCGGCTGGCTCGACTGACTCGCCCTGGGCCTCGTGGAAGAGCACAGTCGAAGCCCTGTATTTTTCTATGATAGCTTCAGAGCTGTGAAATGAAGCCTGCAGCAAGCTGAATATTGTTCGTACTACAATCCCGTAGAGCGATGGCAATCGAAGGCACCAAGCTGGCCCTCCAGTGTGCGCGATTCACACAGAAAACACCCGGCTAGTAGCAGGGCACGGAGCCGGTACTGGTACGGAGCGGCATTGCACCCAGCCATTTCAGCGAGCAGTGAGAGAGCCGTGACTGGCGGGACCTTCTGCACATTCTTCAGGTGACCTCTGCCCGTGTCCTGCAGACAGGTAGCTGGACTGTGTCGACATCTAGAATTGAGATTGCAAGTAGACAAGGCAGGTGCGGGCTGGCGCAGCTCGCCTTTATGCTCTTGCCACTGTGCCGTTCGTATGTTCGGTTTAAGTGTTTTTGTATACCGATCTTGCCTTTCTTGCCGCTCGAAGGGGCTAAAGACCTGGCGGGGACCACTATATTCATTCGGCTCCTCGGGGCTCCGCAGTGTTGTTTCGAACTACAACTTCCTCATGCGGGCCTCTTCATTCGGTGGCACCGAAGGCCGCGCCACCGAAGGCCAAGGGGGCAAAGGATTTCCGGGGAACGGTGGCCTGGAGCAGCCACAGTCAAGCACAACGTCAATCAGTGGTTGTCTGTCGGCTGAGCCTGATCCGAACATGCGAGCAAACAAGCAACCAAACAAGCAAACATACATACATACATACATACATACATACATACATACATACATACATGCACAGCACGCACGCACGCAAGCACGCACGCACGTACGTACGAACGAGCGACCGAACGAGCGGACAGACAAAACGAATAACCGACCAACCAACCAACCGAGAAAGAAAGAAGCAACCAGGCAACCAACCAACCAAGTAAGCAAGCAAGCAAGCAAGCAAGCAAGCAAGCGCTTGCCTGCTTGCTTACTTGCTTACTTGCTGACTTATCTAGTAGTTACTGACCTACGTACCTATCTACTTACTTACATACTGACTGACTTCCTTACTTACTTACTCACTTGCTTATCTACATATACATGCGTGCATGCATCTTCGAGAAGGGCCGTTGCCAGGGACAGCGCAATTAAGGTAAGACAAACGGGCCCACGG